GAGAGAGAGAGAGAGAGAGAGAGAGAGAGAGGAGAGGACACAGACACATATTCTCTCTCTCACATGCACATACACACATGACATGTAACTCTTGAGCTAGTAATTACACCACAATTTGCATATATGAACCCAATACAAAGTTCTTTGTAGGAGATGAGTAATATTTCTTTGGAGACCAACTGCACTATGGTTCCTTTACATTGACGAAATATCTGAGGTTCCCTTCCCATGATGCTCCCTCTCCTTTCTTCCTCTCTCCCTCTCCCCACATCAGGTATAAGAAGTTAGAAAACGAAAAGGCAAGGGAATATGAGCTTTTATTTCCCATAGCTGAAGGAATGAATTGCAGTTGTGAATAAGTGTGTGTGCTGAGTCCATTTTTAAACATTGTATCTTTTCTTTGGTCTTCAGGGGAGTGATTTAAGAATTTTCAAAACGGAATGTTCTTATCACAAAACTGGAACAATACAAACAAAACCAAGCAAGTCCTTGATAGCTTCAAAATAACTGTTTATCACTCCACTTCACAGTTGACTTCAACCTCAGCTCCAGCACACTGTTGGGCATGTGTTAAGAATTCTTGGGCTCCAAAAGTCTTCAGTTTGTTTTTGCTTTTGACACTGGATTTGCTAAAATGTGTCAGAAACCCTCAATCCAGTTTCAAGCTCCAGTTCTCTCTCTTCCAGTTTGAAAAGTTGCCAGAACAAAAGCTGTCCTAGTTTCTGGGGACTTTTTGACTTTGCAGATTCTGGGTTTCCAGGCACATGCTTTCTAGGAGACTAAATAGCACAGAGGTTTTTCAAAATGTTTTTAAATTGGAAAATGCCAATTGCTTTTGGGTCACTGATTCATTTACAATCATAATCAATAATGCCTATCTTGGTAATTGCCATTCAGTTTCTTCCAGGAGATAGCATTTGTCAGTCTTGAACCATCCATTCCCGGTGGCAAGCGCCAGTTTAGAGTTGAAAATACATTGGTCCAAAATTTTGGTGACTCTTCACTTAGGGGAAACCTAGGGAGCACCTAAGGGGGATAAAGGGAGCTAATCACCACTGAGTGGAACTTAACTGTTGTAGGCATGTGCATTTAAAGAACAGCCTCCCAAGAGATCTTACCTCTCCGCGTATTAAAGGAAACTGGAGTTCAGATATTAGACTGGAAATATCTGAAAAATGACAACAAAAGGGAGATCTGGTGTTCATATACCCAGAGAACTAGTACCAAGTGCTATGCTCCTGCTTCCAAAGAAAATATCTGAAAGCTGGGAGCTGGCTGCTGGAGAATGCTGGAGAGACACATAAACACAGAGATTTATGAAAGGGAGGCTCCACCTTGGCTTTCTTGTGTTGATCTCCAGTTCTTAGATATGAATGGATAGATTTAAAACTCAATGTGAGTTGAATATTGAGTTTTGGATGGTTGGACCCTGCTTCCCTTTCTCCTCTGAGGAATAGTAATTGTGTTACCATACAATCAGCCAGTGTAGCTTAAATAAAACCTTCAAGGTTTCACATCAAGTGAAGTTTCCAATCCTAAAACTAAGCTAGGTAAAGTCATGTGCCTGCAATCTTAACATTAAGGAAAATCACAAGTCTTAGGCTACCTACTATATATAGAAATAGCCTGTCTTGCTGCCCATAAATAAATGGGTAAATAAATAAATGTAATGCAATCCAAAAGGCACAGGCTTTTAAATTTTTGGACTAATAGAAAAAAAGACCCACAGATTGAAATATTGAGGAGACTAATTTTTCAAAATTACCCGCCAGGTTAAGAATACATATAAAAAGCTAAGACAACAAATAAATAAATATGAACCCTAACAGTCAAAATATATTAAATATATTAAATCTGATACAAGGGAAACGTTTGAAGCACTTAATTAGAACAATCATTTGTGATCAGATTTGATTTATATACTATAACAGAGAAAGTACAAACTTAGAAAACTAACAGACTAGGGTTCAAACAAGAAAGAACCAAACAAAACAGCTAGGGATAGAGTGTAGTTGTAGATTTTGTTAGCTTAGCATGTTTAAGGCCTTTAGTTTAGTCTTCAGCACTACAAGAAAGAAGAGAAATATATTCATATACAGAGACATGTATTTATTCATATATGTGTGTATATATCACAAAACCCTCTACTGATACAGGGAAGGACAAGATCACTTTCTTTTGGAAAACTTCATGAAAATGGTTGCATTTGAGAAATACTTCATCTTTCATCATCAATTAATTAATTAATTGCTAATTTTTGGCAGTGTCAATACCAAGAGCCTTGTGTGAATACTTAGAAAGTGCTATACTGGTGAGCTGCATTCCCAGTGCTTGGGATGTGTCTTGAAGGAGGGCTTAAAATTAGGTGAGGAGTTAGGACTTAAAAGGAGAAGCTTTGTGAGCAAACCCATGAGCTCAGAAAAATGTAGAACATTCTTTTTAAACAACTCTTGGCCTGCCTTGTTTATGAGAGTGACATTTCAGGGGGAAATGGGGTACATGGTTGGAGACAAAGGCTGGAGTCACATTTCTGAGTTTCTCCTTATATCTCAGCACTGGATTAGCGACATAGTCCAGTGGGTTGTGTTTCAGAACACTTGGGGACATATAGGAAATCTAAGGTTTTTCTATTAACAAAATAGGTAGGCAGCAAGATAATTTTAAACTCCATGGTTAGGGCTGTGTAGTATTATTTCAATACTGTTTTCAAGAAAAACAACACAACTTTGGCTTTTTCACAAAGATGACATGGCTTATAATCTCTTTGAATATGGAGCTGTATAGATTGATCTGTAAAGCACTTATCAAAGCAGATTGTAAACAACATATGGATATAAACTTAATTGGTGTCCTTGGTTTTCACTGATTAAAAGAATTGGTGATGGGAACGGCCTTTGTTGCCCAAATTTGGATTTGGTGGACACCAAGACCTATCCTTCTTTAGATTTCTGAACAACACAGGTGATGTGACAGAGACAATTGTAGACTATCCATCTTCATGGAGTCAGAATCAAGATTTAAACAAACAAACAAGCAACAAAACCAGGCATTAACCAGTGTGGCTCACCACACCGTGCAGAGCTAATCTGAAGGTTGAGATATGCATTGGTGATGTTTTAGGTCTGCATTTCTAGGAAGGTACCACTAGCTCCTGAGACTTGGATTTGAGAGATGTGCCTATAGCTTCATTCGAAGTGTGGTAGAAGCAGATGATGACAATCATTTCCTACCCAGGGTTTTCCTTTCATAAAGCCTTGCCTTGGAAAACCACTTCTGTGTTGTACTGCAGGACACAGCACAGATAAGGGTGTTAGACAAGTCTGGACTCTTAGTCTGGCCTCTCTTACTAATTAGCCAGCTGTGTTGACCAAAGTAACTCATTTCATAAACCAGATATTTAAAAAAAACCATAATTTCCAGCTTGACAGGGTGGCTTCAGTCTTCAATTCCCTAAAAAGCAGACAGATCTCTCTGAGTTCTAGGCCAGCCTGGTCTACATAGTGAGTAGCAGGTCAGCCCAGGATACCTGGTGAGATCCTACTAAACTAAAATGAAACCAAATAAATAATCACCCCATGAAACCAAAATAATACAAAACCACATCAAACTCCTGGAGAGTTAAATGCATGCAGAGGTTCAGATTTGGGATTCTCCTGCTGGAGTTGAAGTCTATTTTGATATTTTCCAGTGGTAGGAACTTCCAGAGGTAGTTCCTACCACTCTGCCTCTCTGCCCAGGTTTCTTCAGTGAAAATGGAGGTGTGGTGAAAATTGGCCTTGTGGAGTTATTATGGATGTAAAATTAGTTAATATGCAAATACGTTAGAGTAGTGGCTCTCTCAATACTGCGTGGATTGCTTCATTCAGTGCCCCTGTGAGAGTGCTTTCCTCAGACACATGTCCCATCCTGACAGCCATTTTATCAATGGCATTATAGAAGTTCAACAAGAGGTCATTGTGTCAGAATTTAGTTATTTAAATCCATTAATGCAGTTCAGTTCCACAATACAATTATGAAGGTGACTGAGACGTAGGGAGTTTAGATGACAAATCCAGAGTCTCCCAGTGACAGTGCCATTCTCCAAAGCCTGTGCACTTACCTCTTCTGCTAAATACCATTCCTCTGACATGATAACGAGTCTTTGAAGATTTTTTTGTCACTGTGATTCAATC